TCCTTTTCTCCTTTGCTTTTTGCTTCCCTTCTTTTCACAGCTATTTGTAAGGCCTCCGCAGACAGCCATTTTGCCTTTTTGCATTTCTTTTCCTCGGGGATGGTCTTGATTCCTGTCTCCTGTATGATGTCATGTTCAAAATGATATTCAGCAAAAAGTAACTAATTGAGTCACCCACATATCAGGTGTGAAAACCAACTGTTGGTTTTCTCTATAAAATGATTCTAGGTAAGGTTTGTGGAGGTATTTTTCCAAAATACCTGTATTTTTCTAAAACAACTGTTTCCCCAGAGATTGGTCAGGTGACTGCATAAAAGTTATCTGAAACACAATTCTTGTGCTTATTCTTCTTTTCCCTTTTAAAATAAACAATCTTACTTACTCTTGAAGGCACAGCTCAAATATTACTTCTTCTCTTTGGCATCCTCTTTTCTCTTCCATTTCCCTGGTAAAATGAATGACCCCATTATCTGATGTCCTGTGATATTTTGTATATAGTTTTACATATATAAATGTACATATATATATATATATATATATATATATATATACACACAGCAGTATACAACACATTGTACTGCTATGATTTATTGTCTATACCTCTATTATCTTTTAAACTCCTCAAAGGCAAAATTTGTGTTCCATTCTTTTTGGTATCACCAGTAACTAGTACAGTACCTATAATTCAAAAGAACATCAGCAAACAATCTTGAACTTAATCATATTGACACAAATACCTTCTAATATGAGAAAGCCCAAGAATACACAAGGAGAAATGAGTATGAAAACTCAATTGAAAGTCTAAAACAAAGAGAAGCTTTCTGTATTAATCCAAGTCCCCCTCACTAAAACTGCCTGAGAATGGTGTCATGCCTCTGACAGATGAAAGATCTGAGACTCAGACAACTTGGTCAGGATCAAAGCCACTAGACACTAGAATAAGACCATCTGAACTCTCCTCTGGTTCCAAAGCTAGAGCTCTTGACTTTTTAATTTTAATGCTTCCTTCCTTGAGACCAGAGAATACAACATGCAAAAAAGGAACCGTTTTTCATCTGTGTCTTGCCAGTTCTTGGTATATAATTGACTATTGTCTTCAAATATAAGTTATGTCCAAATCATTGTTTTTGACTTATTTTTTTTTTACGTTGTTCAGTTCTGAGCCATTACATCAGCCATGGGTAGTTAAGCCTGCTGTGAACTTGTACAGTCGAGACCGCTATTACATTAAATAGCAGTGCTTAGTGCGTGAAGATGATGCTTCCAACTGTCGCACCTTTAGGAAGAAAGAGGGGTATGAACAGTTCTTTGATCTCTGTTCTCAACTACATACTCTGCACCCGCAATACACACACTTTGAGAAGTGTGCCCACCGGGGCCTTGGTTTTTCTGTGTTTAGAAAAGGAAAGTACAATGTAACACGTGATGCATGCATATACAATGTACCCTGTTAGAATGCATACTTGGTGCTCTTTAATTTTGTGTGACTCTTTCATCCACCTATACATCACTACAATACTGAAATTTGAGTGCACATGCCTACATCTCTACATATAGGTTCCTATAGAGTTATATATAACATATATATAATAAGACCACTGTAAAATGTGAAAAAAAGAGTTTTTATATCAGTTTTTAATCCCTCTTCTTTTTATGTTAATTTCTAATCCCTCTTCTCCACTGACTATTAATCAGTGTGGCAAAAAAAAAAATTGTTTCCACTGGGAAAAGTCTGGTTTTTCTTTTTGTAGATCCCACGGGTGTCTAGATTCTAGATATCTCATATCGGGGTTCTCATATCTAGATGCCAGATATCTCACATCTGGATTCTCATATCTAGATAACAGATATCTCATACCTCTTATGCCTGAGATATCATACTCTCTGTGTCATGACAGGCAGGAAAGCAGATCATAAAACCTTGGCGTCCACCATTCCCGAACCTGCTGCAGGCATCTTAAAGTATTTGCAGCTCCTAGTAGAGAGCTTTACCTACTTGGCAAAGAATGCTCCATCCAAGCACAGGTGAGTGCAGAGGAGGCAGAAAGGTGACGTTCCAGGAGCAGCCTTCGGACACAGAGCAAGAGAGGTGGACCCTGCCCTGACTCCCCAGGGTGCTCAAGAGCACCAAGCCCGCGGCGTCGCGTTGGTGCCTTCCCGGCTCTGCCTCACTTCCCTGCTGCTACTGCTGGGAATGCCTCCCATGTGAACTCCAGCCCTTAAGTCTAGAATAGAGAAAAGGCCACTTTAGGAATAGTGTTTATTAGATGTCACTATGGAGATTTGTTCCCTCCACCATGCAGAGAATCACGCCAGCTTCTAACTCTCTCATTTCACAAGGACTGATGCTGCTTACTTCCTCCGTATATCAGGTCTCCCTAATCTGGGTGTCCTGAGACTGGGTCTGCGCTCTGCACACGTAAGCATCACAGGCATTTTAAACTCCTTGGGGCAAGAAGAGTCGCTGTCCTGCCTGCGTCCAAGATTAAAAACGGGTTCCCTCCCACCCTGGCCACTGAGCAGTACACTTTCAGCTCCAATCACTCCTTCCTCCCCAGGCTGCAGGCCACCTCTGGGGTTCCTGGTAAACCATGTCCCTTTCTGTTAAAGCCCAGTCCTCGCAAGTGAGCATTTACCATTTTTCCCTTCTTGTCAAATACACACTCACACACTTTTACTTCACTTATATCTCCATTTCTTACTGTTGTTATAAAAGATCACCATTAATTTAGTTACATAAGACAACAACAAAAATTATCTTATAGTTCTGGAGACAAAAAATCTGAAAAGAGTCTAAATGAGGGCTAAAGTCAAACTGTTGCCTTTTCCAGCTTCCAGAGACAATCTGAATTCCTTAGCTCATGGCTGTATATATCTCTGTTTTCAAAGCCAGCACCATTAAAATAAGTCCTCGTCATGCCACCATCCTCTGATTCTTTCTCTTTTGTCTCCCTCCTGCACTTATAAAGACCTTTGTGACTACATCGGGACCACCCAGATACCTCAAAAAGTCAACTTGGTAGCAACTTTCATCCCATCTGTAACTGTAATTCCCCTTGCCATACAACCTAACATATTCACAGTTTCTAAGAACTGGGATGTAGAAATCTTTGGGAAGTGGAGGCATTATCCTACCAGTCTCAACAAGTTTAAAGATGCAAATAATTTTCCTTACTGCTTTCAGACGCAATTATTCTAGATGCAGTGTATAAAGATGATCCTATTACTCCACTCACTCTAGAAATAACACCTATCTAAAGCACTGAATACTATACCTTACCAATAGTTGCCATCATTCAGAACCTGTAATGTGTCAAGCATTCTATATACTCAGCAATGTTTAATAGTTACCACACAGTCTTCAGCATTAGACTGGTCTAGAATGCAAGTTGTATTCTGCTCCCTACTAAATAGACAACATTCTGGACAACTTAATTAACCACTGTAACTCTCATCCTATCGAATGTTAAAGAAACAGTACACCTCCTCATAGTGATGATTTGGTCACTTTATCTTAACTGACTTCAGAATTCCTTGGGCTTCCCAGGTGGCACAATGGTAAAGAGTCCATGGGCCAACACAGGAGATGCAAGAGACACAGCTTCAGTCCCTGTGTTGAGGAGCTCCCCTGGGCAAGGAAATGGCAATCTGCTTAGTATTCTTCCCTGGAAAATTTCAAGGACAGAGGAACCTGGTGTGTCGCAAAGAATCAGACGTGACCAAGTGCACACGGAGAATCCTTTATTGTAAGATGTGTCATTGTTTGGAAAAATTGAAAAGAGTATTTGATTACATTTAGGATTACCTCATGTTGTTACCTTTTAATCCTTCCCAAAGTAAACCAGCATCACTATAAACAAGGCTAGTGGAGGTGATGGAATTCCAGCCGAGACATTTCAAATCCTGAAAGATGACGCTGTGAAAGTGCTGCACTCAATATGCATCATCAAAAAAACAAGAGAATTAAAAAAAAAAAATCTACTTCTGCTTCATTATCTATGCTAAAGCCTTTGTGTGGATCACAACAACCTGGAAAATTCTTAAAGAGATAGGAATACCAGACCACCTTACCTGCCTCTTAAGAAACCTGTAGGCAGGTCAAGAAGCAACGGCTAGAACCAGACATGGAACAATGGACTGGTTCCAAATTGGAAAAGGAGTATGTTACGGCTGTATATTGTCACCCTGCTTATTTAACTTATATGCACAGTACATCATGAGAAATGCCAGCCTGGATGAAGCACAAGCTGGAATCAAGATTGCTGGAAGAAATGTCAATAACCTCAGATATGCAGATGACACCACCCTTATGGCAGAAAGTAAAGAGGAACTAAACAGCCTCTTGATGAAAGTGAAAGAGGAGAGTGAAAAAGCTGACTTAAAACATAACATTCAAAAAAATGAAGACCATGGCATCCAGTCCCATCACTTGATGGCTAAGATGGGAAAACAACAGAAACAGTGACAGACTTTATTTTCTTAGGCTCCAAAACGGTGACTATAGCCATGAAATTAAAAGAGGCTTGCTCCCTGGAAGAAAAGCTATGACTAAACTAGACAACATAATAAAAAGCAGAGACGTTACTTTACCAACAAAGGCCATGCAGTCAAAGCTGTGGTTTTCCCAGTGGTCATGTATGGATGTGAGAGCTGGCCCATAAAGAAAGCTGAGTGCCGAAGAATTGATGCTTTTGAACTGTGGTTGTTGGAGAAGACTCTTGAGAGACGGTGAGGACAGGGAGGCCTGGCGTGCTGCAGTCCATGGGGCCGCAGAGAGTCAGACACGACTGAGCGACTGAACAACAAAACTAAACCCGACGTGAATCTGATCGCCGGGTCGGGAACACCCCCTGGCGACCACTGCAGTGTTCTCATCTGGAGGAGCCCCACGGACCGGGGAGCCTGGCGGGCGACGGCCCATAGGGTAGGAGTCACACCCAGCTGAAGCAGCTGGACGTGCACGCAGACTAAACTAAAATGACAGCCGAGAGGTTAGCACGCTAGTAGCTCATAACGTTGGGAACGAGAGAGCGGAGCACAGCGAGAATCATTCCAACAAATATGTAGGAGGTGAAAGATGGATGGAGGAGCGGCACCTGAAAGCCGGAACACAGGAAGCCGAAGCCCACCCAGTGTCAGAGGGCGCCAAAGAGGAAGCGAACCAGTTTACCCGGCGGAACTCCTGGAAGCTAGTCTTGAAGACCAGTGGGCACTGAAAGAGGAAGGGGCGGGTGAGCAGCGAGAGCGGCTGAAGGCGCCACGCACCGCGGGAGCCGGGAGGCCTTCCCGCCCAGCGCCTCCGCGCGCGGCGCGGCCGGACGGCGTCCCGCGCCCGGGCCCTGCGAGGCGGGGGCGCCGTGCTCCCTGCGGGGATGGGGTCGGCTAGGCTCCCGGCGGGGATGGGGTCGGCTAGGCTCCCTGCGGGGATGGGGTCGGCTAGGCTCCCTGCGGGGAGGGGGTCGGCTAGGCTCCCTGCGGGGATGGGGTCGGCTAGGCTCCCGGCGGGGATGGGGTCGGCTAGGCTCCCTGCGGGGATGGGGTCGGCTAGGCTCCCGGCGGGGATGGGGTCGGCTAGGCTCCCTGCGGGGAGGGGGTCGGCTAGGCTCCCGGCGGGGATGGGGTCGGCTAGGCTCCCTGCGGGGATGGGGTCGGCTAGGCTCCCGGCGGGGATGGGGTCGGCTAGGCTCCCGGCTGGGATGGGGTCGGCTAGGCTCCCTGCGGGGATGGGGTCGGCTAGGCTCCCGGCGGGGATGGGGTCGTCTAGGCTCCCGGCGGGGATGGGGTCGGCTAGGCTCCCGGCTGGGATGGGGTCGGCTAGGCTCCCGGCTGGGATGGGGTCGGCTAGGCTCCCTGCGGGGATGGGGTCGGCTAGGCTCCCGGTGGGGATGGGGTCGGCTAGGCTCCCGGTGGACGAGCAACAGACACGGAAAAGGGACCGACTCGTGGAGCCGCAAAAAGCAGGGGCTGGGACACCAGCTCGCATACTGAGCTACGGGGCTCTTAGACGCAACCCTCCTCAGGACAAGAACCAGAGAACAGGACAGAAACGGTTCCCACACTGGCCTTTGAGTGGCCCTCGGTGAAATAACTGGCTTTCTATACGAATCATCAGACGGCATTCCCATCTGTCCTCAAACAGAACCTCTGACTAGAAGTTTAGTGACAAGCGGATGATTGGAAAGTGAAAGATTGTCAGACAACTGAATAAAACATCCAATGTGAAAGATGATGCAAACAAATCAAAACGAGATAAAAGACAATGAAAAAGAAAATCAACACAACACACAAGATGTTCAGAGAGATGTAATTCTTCTAAAACTAAAAAAAAAAAAAAATGATGCAATGGGGGGAAAAAAAGACTGGCTTAATTTTTTTTTAAGAGCTCCTGAAAATTAAAGATTTTATGACTGACTTTTTTAATAAAAGCAGAGATGGAAACTAAAGTTGGGAAATCCAGGAACACAGACTAAAATGTAATATGATATAGAATATAGGAAATATATAACTAAATAAGACAACTTCACCCTGCTTTCTAATATCTAATAAGAATTCCAGAAATCCTGAATACAGATATTATAAAGAAATAATATTAGGTTTCCTTGAAATGAAGTAGTTTTCTAGAAAGAGAGTGCACAGGAATGCCCAGAACAATAAGTAAGAAACACTAGAAATTTTATCAAGAGGTAAGGCAAGACTCTGAAAGTTTATAAGATAGCGCACACACACACGGCCCTTATAAAATAACATGATGCCAGCAAGACAAGAATATTAAATAACAACAAAGCTAAGCCTCTCAACTTCTGATGTAAAATCATCCTTAGTCTAGAATTCCATACTAACTGTATCAGTCTTCACGGCCATCAAGAGAATAAACCCTGTAGGCTAAGGAAAAACTGACTTTCTTAAGGGACGATAAATGGCTCACTCAATCATTAGGAGGGCTGCAGAAACAAGCTCACGGTCAGGGTTCCAGTATCGAGACCCAGAACTACACTGCAGAACCACCCTGATGGAAAAACCATTTTATTTTATCCTCCCACCGTCTTTCACTGCAACCTCTCCTGCCAGGAGCACCAATGACACAGTCACCCTTGAAAACCACGTCTCTGAACCTTCAGCAGCAAAATGATTGCCGCCCACAAAACGCAAGCTGCTTGCTTCCAAATGTAACCCTGTACTGGTTTGTCTGATAAGATGAGCCCACGTAAGTGTACCATACCTGCACAGGAAGTTGGTGAAAGTATTCTGAATTGTACCTTGTAGAGACAGAATTCACAGAATGGGAAATCATAAAAATATAAGGAGGATTTCTGAGATACACTCAATAGTCACTATTCCAACCAAATGAGCAATGTGTACTGCTCCATCAAGTTATCAATCAAGTGTGAGGATAGAATAAAAACATTTTCAGACATGAAGGGAATTGAAATAAAACGTCATCACCCTTCATTAGGGAGACTCATCTTCCAGCATAAAGGAATAAACCAAGAAAAAAGGAGTACACGGCATCCCAGACACAGGATCAAACACTGAAAAAGAATGAAAGGCGTTACAGAAGAACATGTCTTCATGGAGTTTAAGTGTAACTAGCTGAGACTGGAGAAGGATATGGAGAAAAAGGAAGGAGGCTTGCAAGCACAAAAACAGTTTAAAAAATTGATTTATTATCTCTTACATGTTAACATTTGAAAAAGTATCGGTAAGTGTTTGACAGCTTTATTGGTGCTTTTGAAAAATATGAAAGAGAAATAAAAGCAATAATACAAGTGCTAAAATGATAGAGTAAATTTGGGAAAGAAGAAACAATATACTACTATGCTCAGTAGTAAATAATTTTCAACTATCCAGTAACATGGAACTTAAGTACTGAGTTAATTAAATATGTGCTAAATCACACTGAGAGAACAGTACGAGAGAACACATGTACGTGCGGAAAGGGGTATCTTAAGAGTGATAAACTCTGAGTTACCAAACCGGGAGTCTAAAAACACTAAGATTGAAAAACTAATAAACAGCATCAATATTTAAAGATGTTGGAAAGCTGTAGAAGATATCTACAAGATATCCATAAAAGAGCTGAAGTTGACACATTAGGCACACAAGACTTAAGAATGAAGAATGAGACAGGGGTCCATATTTTATTCAAAACATGCCCTTTCGTCCTTTTTGATTTTTAACTATGTGAGTGAAATACATTGATAAATGTAGGCTTTTTTAAAAGAAAACTACCTTGGTAAATTATGGGGTAGAAAGTGGGATCTCAAGAGCCTAGATAACAGATATCAAAACTTTAAAAAAAAAAAAAAAGAAAAGAAAAGGACAACTAGCTTTGCATGAGAGAAGATAACCAATTTGAAGTTCCCAAGGAAATCTAAGGAAAAAACGAAAGTAAAGAGGACAGTAGAGAGAAGTACTAAGCAGTAGCTGGCAAAACGGTAACAATCTACGCCACACATTATATAATTCTTTCCCATGACACTGCAAAACCATCAGTATCACATTCTAAACTCAGAGACCAGTGAGTGATCTCTGACAAAAAAATTTTTTTTTTAAAGTGAAGAAGGAATTATTCTTTCAAACATAGTTGGCACCAAATGATGAGAGACCCAATAGATTCAGTTAGTCCTTAGAACACAAGGTCATTGAAAATGAACAGATATATTAGAAATACTTTAGATTTAGAGATTTGATTTTTCCTAGAACTTGAGAGGCAGCAAAGTATCCTGATTTATTGTGAGTTATACACAAAACAATGCATCTGATAAACTTAGCACCATGCTGACATATTCAGTAGAAGGTAGAGATGATATACAATCTCAGACACCACAACAACCCTTCAAGGTAGGCAGTACTAACTGCACATTTCCTAAGGAGGAAAAAGCTCACAGACACTCTTTTCTCAAGATCACACAGACCAGTGCCTCTCAAAGGTCTTTACATACACCAATAGAACCATCGAGTTCATCCTAAGGTAGAGCTGAAACCATACGCACAGATCAGATCTCTAGCATTTTACCCTCTGTATACTATTTTTATACAGTGCGGCAAAAAGATGAGAAAATATATGCTCTTTCACTTTGGAATCTAAGATACTCTAAACTATTCTTAAGCAGATTGAATGGTAAAAACTGTGTAGGAGGGGAAATGACTGTGATAATGCAGAGAAATTTTTAAACATGTCCATATTTTACGTAGGAGAGCTGTTTTATTTTTTAAGATATCCTTTTGTGGGAGGGTAACTCCTATCTTTAATCTGTTTTAAGAAGCTCATTGCCCCAATAATGTAATAAAGTAGATCATGAATGTTATCTTGGACTCTGGTAGGAGTACTAGATCTTCAACTACATAAAGTCTAAAAATAGCAACTAAAATTAATTAATTAAAAATGCCCATTCAAGGGCTTTATTTAGAAAGATGCTGTAAAATTCTATGTGAATGAACATGATTCATCAAAGCTACCAATTATTGACAAATAGGTTGAGTAGGTGACAGTGCTGATAGAAACCTTTAGCTTTCCACCCCAATTTGCTACATTTTTCCCACTAGTTGAAAATATTTTGTCCTATGGCTTAAGAGTTCACTCTTTTCTCTCTGATTATTTACCAACCATTCATCTCTGCACAAATGGTTCCATTCATTTCTACAGTGATGTATCTAAAACTTCACAGAGGATCCATGTCACAAATCTATTGGACTCTAAAGCACCAATGCCTCTAAGCACTAACCAGGGAATACAACTGGGGAAAACAGCAGGAGAGGTGGAAATTGTGATGAACTATAAAATTCATGTCCTTTAAAAGTATTTCTGTACCAGTCAACAGATTCCTGCCAGTCTTCCCTGTTCTGCGGTCTACCAGATGGCAACTTATCAGAAGTGCCCTGTATCACAGGCTTTTCAGAGTGTCGTCACCCGCAGTTGCCGCTGATGCCTCAAAGGTCATCTACAAGGAGTCAGCAAACTCTCTCATTCCTTGGAGGTGTGCTAAGTCCCAGCTATGTCCCAGGCACTGTACTGACCACCAGGGAAATAGCAGGGGGACCAACAGACATAGCACCTGGAGTTTAGATAGGAAAGTAATCACTGGAATGCCTACAAACAAATATGTACTCTCAGGTTATAGCATACGCTGCCTTGCAGGGTACTAGGAGAGAATAAAGAAGGACTATTGATTTGTCTGAGGCTGTCCTGGTCTTCAAGGTCATATTTCATCTACTAGGAGACCTGAGCTCATTTAGATCTGTTAGCTGAAGCGTCATAAAATCCTCACCCATATGGACTTAAATTCTCCTGTCGCCAATATTTGTTTTACCTTCCTATGGTTTGAAGATCATTCTATTT